TAGCTATAGTTAACTGTAGATAGCTGTGGATAGCTGTAGGTAGCTATAGTTAGCTGTAGTTAGCTGTATTTATAGTTAGCTGTAGATAGTTATAGTCAGCTGTATTTAGCTATAGTTGGCTGTAGTTAGCTTTAGATAGCTGTAGTAAGCTAAAGTAAGTTAGTTGTGGTTAGCTTTAGTAGTTAGTTATAGTTAGCTGTACTGAGCTGTAGTTGGCTACAGTTAGCTGTCGTTAACTATAGTTAGCTGTAGTTAGCTACAGTTAGCTATAGTTAGCTGCAGTTAGCTACAGTTATCTACAGTTAGCTGTAGTTAGCTGTAGTAGTTAGCTATAGTTAGCTGTAGTAGTTAGCTATAGTTAGCTGTAGTTAGCTACAGTTAGCTGTAGTTAGCTGTAGTTATCTATAGTTATCTACAGTTAGCTATAGTTAGCAGTAGTTAGCTACAGTTATCTACAGTTAGCTGTAGTTAGCTATAGTTAAGTATAGTTATCTACAGTTAGCTATAGTTAGCAGTAGTTAGCTACAGTTATCTACAGTTAACTATAGTTAGCTGTAGTTAGCTACAGTTAGCTATAGTTAGCTGCAGTTAGCTACAGTTATCTATAGTTAGCTGTAGTTAGCTACAGTTAGCTATAACTCCCAGACACAGCGGTCGTGGCTTGGACACCTGCTCCACCCCTTGCTGCAGGCCTCTCCCTGCTCTCCTTCCTTTCTCTCTGCTGCTCTGAATAAAGACAATAAGCCCAAACAATATCTCTAATAAATAAATAAATGGATGTAATCAGCATGTTGAGCAGGAGCACTGGGACGCTGAGCTCTGGCTCCACATCATACAGGTGTTGTCATATTAACATATTAACGTCTTCTCTCTGCTGAGTGCAAACACTGATGGAAACCCGAGTGTTCGTCCCACGACCGCCGTCACAGCGGATCCACTCACGGCCGGTCGGTTGTCTTTTACTTTGTTAAAGAATGTGGTTCTGGCTGATAAATGTTGGAGATAAAATGAAGATAAAATGCCTTTCAAAGCCACCAGCGGGTTTTAAAGCTCACATGTTTAATTAATCCCATAAATTCTGCTTTAAAATGGCCTCAGCTAGAATTAATCTTTAAATGTTTCATCTCTCTGCGGTCTTAACGGGACCTGGAGTGTTCTACAGTGTTCCGGCCCGTAGCGTCCACGGTGAGAGTCAAACGGACGTCTTACCGAAGCCGGCAGACAGAAGACGGACTGCTCCGTCACCAGCCTCTCGGTGAAGTCCACGTCGTTCTTAAAGTCTGGAAAATGGTCCATGTCGATGCCGACCTGCAAACACAGGAAACAAGTTCCTCTGGTCAGAAAGGTCCATTCACACGTGTGAGATCAGAGTCTGAGGAGCTACGAGCCTCTGACGTTGTTCATGAGATGTTCAAGGCCGTTGTTTGTTCTAGAGTCTGATGTGAAGGTGAAACTAATGAAGCCGCAGTTTGTTTCTTCTTAATCATGGATTTGTTCAGGTTATATGACATCATGTAAAAACAGAACCTAACTTAAACAGAACCTTTTCTTTAACAGTTAGCGACCACTGTCTTCATATTTTTCTTTACACGCCCGCTTACAGCTGCTTCAGACAGAATTCAGACCCGTCAGCTTGTACACACTTCATATTGTTGTAGATTTCAGTTTAAATGGATAAATTCCTCTTTTCTCCATCAGCCAGGACGATGACGTGTAATTTGTATAAAACTGCCTCGACTACTCGTATGTTGTAGTTTAGTGAAGGCAGCGACGCAGAAACGCTCGGTTAGCGGGCGTTGGCTTAGTGGTGCAGACTGATGGGAGAAACAGAACCAAAGGGAATCTGTTGGACTTGATGACTGAGATGCAGCCCAGCGGCTGTGAGCTACTGACCATGAGGTACATGGCTCCTGAAGGCATCACGGGGTTCAGTCCAGGGACGGTGGCCAGCTCACTGAAGCACGTCTCTGAGTTGGACTGAAGGAGGAACAAGAAACAGACACGTCATTGATATGAACACGATAAAGCCAAGCTAGCATCATTAGCAGTAGCGTGGAAAAGCCTCTAGTTGTTGTCCCATATCCAGTCTGGGACCACATCTAGACGGACCACAACAGTCTGGTTCTGATTACAGCTGAGCTATGAAGTGATTCTAATAGAAGTCCATCCAGAGGTCATCCTGGGATTAGTTCTGAAGCTGTAGAACCTGAACCATGTAACTGAGCTGCTGAACCAACATATAAACCAGATCCAGACGGTGTTCTCGTGGTGAACAGAACCACCGGCTGCTCCGACCCGAACACGTCTCCGTTGTCCAAGAAGCTTCTGGAGCTCTGACCTGAATCGTGCTCCAGTTATCTGAGTGAGCCACTAGTCCGAGCCTTTATTCTGACGGTGTTCCTGCTACAAACGCCTCAGACGGCCCAACAGCCACCTGCTCAGGCTCAACCCGCAGGCTGCAGCTGTACCTTGAGGAAGCTGATGGTGCTGCTGTAGAAGCTCTGCGGCGTGTTGTTCAGGATGCTCTCCAGCGCCCCCTGGACGATGCTGCAGGCTCCCAGGATCCGCTGCGTCAGCTTCACCAAGCCCTGACGGATCTGCAGGAGGCACATGAAGGTAAACCTGAAATGTTTTCCACGTTCATAAATAACGATCACAGAACGTTAGTACAACTGTTGGTCAGAAGACGTCTCCTGTAGCTGCTAGCGGACGTCCTCCTGACCCTCCTGGTCCTCCTGGTGTGTCTGCTGACAGGCTGTAGGAGATGTGATGGAGCTCTCTGGTCAGGGCTGGACTGTTTCTACAACACTGAGCTCACTAGCTGTTGGTCTTATCCAAGTCTGGCCTCCCACCCAGAGAGACCTGGGACTAGACCTGACCTGGTGGACCTGCTGCTCTGCTGGAGTCACGTCTCCTGATATCGGCCAACTTTACTACAACATGAAGATCTGACCTCCACCAACCTGTCTGATCTCCACAGCAAGCAGGACGCCATAAACACTGGTGGAGCCACGTTCAACAGCCGTGAGAGCTGAAACCAGCAGCACACATCTGCTGTCAATCTGATCACAGAGTAAGAACATGCTGGAACTTTACAGCCAGATGTTCATCAGAGCTTCTGAAGCACCGATTTCTGATGTGAACAGAAGAACTTTTTATTTTTTACAATCAACGTGTAAATTTCGACCTTTTCTGTGGTTTTATGAGATATTTTCTGTAATTTAACAAAACAGAGAAATTCTGGAAAATACCATTTTCAACATTATTCACTGTTTTCAATCAGTGTCAGTTCATGCGGCTGTAAGCGTCCGAGCAGCGAGTCAACACGCCACCACCAGGTCACCGTGGGAACTACAAGCCGATAGAAAGCGTTTGACATCCTGACAGCAGAAGTTCTGGACACAGCAGGAGGCCGAGCGTGAAAAGTGTTGTTTCAGGCTGCAAATGACCCGACATGTTTGAGCTTAATCTGCTTTTACTAGAATACACAGAAAGTCCTACCTCGGACCCAAACACGTCGTTCCTGTCGTGGATGAGGATCCATCCCATCCTCCAACCAGGAACCAGCCAGCGTTTGGCCAAACCGCCGCAGGACAGGATGGGCACGTCGCTGCTGAGGGACGCCATGGAGGGAGAGTCGCAGCCCGGGAACACCTGGAAACAGAACCGAACACAGCCTTATACCGTCTGAAAACACGGACACAGGGAGAGTCAGTCAAGGCCTCCAGACCGACCAGCGCTGATGAGATGATGTTTGGTTCTGCAGCGTTGGTCACTTTGTGTTCTGTACGAAAACGTCAGCGTGTCCAACGAAGCCGAGCTCCATCTACAGTCACAAACCAGAGTTCAAATCGGACCTCATTATAGAATGATTCCCCTCAGAGCGAGTCCTGTCTGTAGGTGGTTCTGGTAGGTTCTGGAGGTAAAACGGTCCTTCCATCGTCTAGAACCGGTTCTGACCCACCACCATCACACATGCTGGTGTGAGCCTGGAACGTTTACCCAGAATGCACTTTGTAAAGTTTCCTCTGGTGACTGATCAGAACCAGAACCACATCCAGGGTACCACTGATTGTTTCTATGACTCTATGTCATAGACATTAGACTGGTACCACTATGATCCATCCCATAATACTGATGCTACCAGCTGCTGACATGAACAGAACCAGGTCCAGTGTTCAGACTGAGACACCTGGATGGATGTAGAACTGATCTGGTGTCAGGTTCTAGCAGAACCCAGATGTGTTCTTCCTCCTAAATGTCATGTGTCTATCTGCTGTTCTGATGAAGTTCTGAGGGTCAGAACTGATGGAAAAAGTCCATTCAGGTGATCAGCTGTGACTCTGCGGTACCGCTCCCCGCTGTGTGGATATTTACATCTGTTTATTCGTACAGCTCCTCCTGAAGATCGCCACCAACAGACGTGAAGTTCAACCTGGACCCGTCCCTCAGACAGCGTGTGCTGCTTATGTAACGTCTGCTCAGGAGGCTGACGGAGTCCAGACGGGAAGTTAAGGAACCACACAGCCTGGTTCTCATTAGAACTGCGCAGCAAGCGGGACATTAACCGGACACGGCCCACAATCCTATTGGCTGAGCCCGGATCAGTGACGCAACAGCAGAACACAGAGCCGGCCGTCGGGACAGAATCAGTCAGAATCAGACGGCTTCAGGGCGACGACGAGCTGCTGGTAAACAGGAAGCTGGAGCCGGGCCTGAAACGGTTCTGTGGTGACACGCTGCCGGGCCGATCAAATCATTCAGGTGTTTATTTCAGTTCACAACAAATATCAGCAAAGAACTCGTTCTGCTGTCGGATCCTCTGAAAGGAATCTAACCAGTACACAGTTTTATCCTAGACTCAGAATCTTTCTGTCACAATATCAGTAACATGATGTTGCAGTTTTGTTTTTAAGCTTCACGTTTGTTGTGTGATTTACTTGATGTTGAGAAAACTGTGGACATCTGTCACATAACCGTACGTTTTAAAGGATCTTACGGATGGAAGCTGGTTTCTGCTGCGTCATGCTGCTGGAGCATGGCTTCAGGTCACAGCTCTGAGCTCCTGGCTGCAGCCTCATGACCATGACTTGCAGAAACCTGCTTTAATGCAGCACAGAGGAAGCTCCAGCAGACCAGCCTCCGCCCCACAACGCCCCCCGTTCCTCCCCCAAGAACCAGAACCAGACGGCGCTAATTACAACCACATGCAGGCAGAAAGTGCAGAGTCATGGTGAGACGCCTTTATCCAAAGTGCTTTACAGGGTTTCTCCTTCACACACGTTCATACACCAGCGGTACCGTCTCAGACTGACACTTGGACACTTGGATTGTGGAGGGGATCGACCCGCCAACCTTAGGATCAGAGGACAACCACCTGAGCCACAGCCGCCCCGGTGGTGGTGCTGGGAGGTCCGTGATGCCCCCACTGACCCACAACACAACACAGGAGGTTGTAGCTGCTTCTGTTTGGATCTGATGAGCTCGAGGCCCGATGATGAAGCTGCTCTGAAGGACAGGAAACAGACAAACATCCATCCATCATCTCTACACCTTCATCCTCACCAGGGTCATGGGGGGCGGAGCCTATCCCAGCTGACTCAGGGTGAAGGCAGGTTCACCTGGACAGGTAACCAGTCTATCACAGGGCTACACTTAGAGACAGACAACCAAGCACACTCACATTCACACCTACGGACAATTTACAATCACCAATTAACCTCAGCATGTTTCTGGACTGTGGGAGGAAGCCGGAGAACCCGGAGAGAACCCACGCTGCACGGGGAGAACATGGAGACTCCACGCAGGAAGATCCCGGGTGTCCTCACCGGGACGCCAACCGGCGACCTTCTAGCTGCTAACGATGCTAACGATGCTAACGATGCTAACCACCGAGACACCTGCAGGCCGTCAGCATGTAAATGATGAGTTTTATTGGATATTATCTGTAAATCAGCAGCTGAACCACCTGGATGCGGATCAGAACATTTCAGGATCAGCTCGCTGTGAAGTCGATCTTCACGTCAGACTGTGAAACTAAACGAATCCAATAACGTAGAAACTGTGAACTCTGCAGAACTTAACGTGCAGATCTTTGGTTTCTTGGTGTCACCGAGCTGCTCCCTGTCGTTGTCGTTGTTGTTGACGTTGTTGTTGTTGATTTTCGAGGTTAAAGGTGATAGAAGCAGCTGAAGCTGAACGGCGCCTGGTTAGAGCAAACAGCTGAGCCCGGTCCAGAGTGGTGTTTGTCAGTGGAAAACTACTGACGCTTCAACTCTAACCTGGTTTCTACTGGGCCGGTAAACAGGCGCCGTCCTGCTCGGCGCACGCTTGTGTTTGCACGGCCTTCAACCGCTGACTGACCAGCAGCGTTTCTGGGCCGACCCGTTGGACTCGATGTGCTGATCGTGTTTTCTCAAAGTAAACATTTCAATTTGTCCGTCTTCATGCTGCTGACCCTGATTCCAGCGTCACACCGACCGTCCAGAAACTCAGCCGGCGTCCAGGACGGAGCTCCGCCTGCAGGCGTCTGGTGGAGCTGCTCATCACGACTACACCATTATGACTGTTATCATTATTATTATTATTGTTGTTATTGTAACGGTTGTTATCATTATCATTATGACTGTTATCATTACTGTTATTATTATTGTTATTATTGTAACGGTTGTTATCATTATCATTATGACTGTTGTCATTACCTGGCTCTGTATCAGGGTCTGTTTCATCTGTTTTCTAACTGGATGCGACACATTTAACGCTTTTAGGATGGTGTTGGTGTCGACAGCTGATTGTTTTTTGATGTATTTTCGTGTACGTTCTGTTTCTGCTGTAGCTCAGAGTTCTGCAGGAGCAGCTTCGGTTCGGTCCGTCTGTGCAGCATCGTGTAAACTCTGTTCATACATGACGTGTGGATGGAGTGATTCCTGTCGCTGTGCAGGCTGCTGCTGGGACGTTGGGAACGAGGAGGAGGACGTCTGACGGCAGGTTTCTGCCCTCGGCGAGCATCCGGTCAGACTGACTACAGCTCAGCAGCAGCTGGATCCTCGGTGGAGATCAGAACCGACTTCCCATCCTGCTTTAGTTCTTCTTGTGTTTGTTGAATGCTGCCTGTGTTCTGCTGCTGCCGGGCCGATACCCTCCCGCTGGGTCAGTGTGCTGTACTCATGGACCTCCCGCCCACTGCTCGCCCTCGCTGACCCTCCTGACTCACCACTAGGCCTCTAATCCCCGCTGTGCTGATGTGGGCTCGCTGCCCTCCATCCACAGCCACTGACCACCCAGTGAACCTCGGCGGTGAAAAATGTGCCTCGCTGGTGATCCCCAGAGCCGAGGCCCGACCTGAGAAGCTGCTCTACTCACCATGTCGCTGTAGATCTCGTCGGCCAGGACGGGGACGCAGTGCTTGGAGGCCACTGGGGGTCAAAACAACACCAGGTTTAATTTACTCTTTGTTTCATTCCCAGCGCCGGAGCAGAAGCTGTTGCAGGTGCAGCCCACCTTTGAGGATCTTCTGCAGATGCTCCTTGCTGAAGACGGAGCCGCAGGGGTTGGAGGGGTTGGTGACGATCAGGCAGGACGTCCTCTCGTCGATCAGGCTCTCCAGGTGCTGCAGGTCCACCTCCCACGCCTTCTCCGGCTGCAGCCACAGAAGAACAAATTCTCAGTGAAGTTCTGAAACAGCGTGATGCTGTAAAAGCTTCAGAGCTGCACCTGCAAGGAGCTTCAGATGATTACAGTGAAGTCAGAAGTACATTCATCACACAAACCAGTAAACCAGGAGCTACTCTGACGGGTTTGCTGGTGTCTGAGTGGTTCTATATTGTTGTGCTCATCTGGAGTCTCTGTCTCGTTGTCGTTGAGCCTCTTTGTACTGACGTCCATGTAAAGCTTGTTCTACCATCCACCGTTCAGAACCTCCTTCTGCACAAGCTGTCTGATGAATGATCACATTCATGAAGTTTGTAGTGATTTATGTCATTTCTTAGTCGTGATATTGTGTCTTTATGACCGAACAAAGCATCTAAAGGCTCCTAAAAAACTGTCAGTAAGGAAGTGGAAGTATTTACAAGAACAGTACTCGAGTATATGTACTCAGTTACCTTCCACTACTTCCTCACTAACCAATGAGAGCGCGTTCTACTGTCAGAGGAGTTGCTGTAGTTTGATAACTGAATGAAAGGCTCTTTGAGCAGCGTGGACCTGATGTTTTGGGCTCTATGTGAATTATTGGAGGATTTGTTGTGTCTTGAGGAGATGAAGGACGTTTGTTCTCCTCCTGAGCTCCTTGACAGGATCAGCTTCATGGATTTAACCAGATTTATTTAGATGGTATCGTTTGGCTCCTCTCTGTAGTGAAATAACGCGTTCATTAGTTTGATTAATGATTTAGTATTTAACCAGCAGAGTAAATTTAGCCGTGTTGGGTTCAGCTGTGATCAGCACCAGAACCTCCAATAACGTGCATGTTTTTGCACCGTGAACTCTTCCTCATGTCCAATATGTGTGAAGTCAGGTCCAGACAAACCTCACAACACCTGGTTTGTTGCTCCCTGTGACCATAAAGCCTTGAAATGTGCTCCACACCCATCGTTTTATTGAACTGATCGATCCGTTGTGACCGATGAGGTTTGTTTCATTCAGCCAGAGCGTTTGAACTCCTCCGTGTGTTCTGGAGGCTCTGGGACTCACCAGCAGGTTGTAGAGCTTCACCTCCACGCCCATGGACACGGCCAGGGTCTTGTAGAGGGAGAAGCCGGGGCAGGGCACCAGGACGTTGTCCCCGGGGTTGCACAGGACGCTGAGGGCCAGGTCGATGGCCTGGGAGCAGCCGCTGGTCAGAATCACATCCTGCAGGACAGATGCTGCACTTTAGTTCAGCTGACAACAGGTTCATCGACCGGTAGAGACGTTGACCTTTTTATCATGTGCAGACTAATGAGGACTCACGTCGGCCTCCAGCGGCGCCTCGGGGCAGCTGTAGAAGTTGGCCACCGCCTCCCGACTCTTCAGGTAACCTGCAGCAGCAAACACAGATCATCAGCTGTCTACTGTCGGGCCTCCTCTGAGCCTCTGAACCAGCTGCTTCAGTCCTGCAGCTCTCATGGAAACAACAACCTGCTGTTTACAGGTAAACAAACGTCTCGTCCAATAAATGCAGCTCAGAATGACGAACAACTCATCAACTGCTAATATGTGGATAAGAAGGTTTGAGGTGTGACCTCCAGACCTCAGAACATCTACACACATCTCTGACTCTTCATTTAGCTTCACAGCAACGAGGAGCTGCTTTAATCAATCAGTCAGGTGTCTGGGGTTTCATCCTTCTGAACTCCAGCAGCAGCTCCTGGCTCATGGTCCTCACTGAGGTTCATGTTTCTCTGCAACACAAAGTCCTGCAGCTCTACATGAAGAAGGAGAAGAACTCAGAGACGTCTTCTGTCAGCAGGACTCAGTGAGAACCATGGAGACCAGAGAACCTGCAACCATCATGTCCAACATGTTTCCACAAACATCACCACCATCAACTGTAGAAAGATGTTCCACCATCAGTAGAAAGATGTTCCACCATCAGATGAACGTATCTCCACCAGCTGGCTCCTCTGGTCTCTGGTTCTGATCCATGCTGCATGTCTTCATTGATCCAGGAGGTTGGATTCTCCTTCAGTCTCTCTGAGGAACCTCTGGCTGCAGTTCAAGCTCTCTGGATGTTTGTTGCGGCCGACTCGTGAAAAACGAAGTGATTTTGATGAAATAATTTGGTTTATTTTCTCAACAGAAGTCACTGATGGTGAGTTCAGGGACCACAGGAAAGCTGAAAATCAACTCATCCTTTTGTTTGTGCAGGTTCTGCCCAATAAACGGAACCAACCAGCAGGTGTTGAGGTCCAGAGGGGCAGTAAAGAAAAGGTTCTGTTTCCTTAAATGTGTGTGTTCAGTGTGCTCATGCTGCTGCTCAGCCACACTCACCGACAGACGGAGCGTAGCCGTTGAACTTGTGGGAGTCGACGGCGTCCCTCATGGCCTGAAGGACGGCCTCGTCTGTGGGCAGGTTTCCGAACACGGTGGGGTCACCTGAGGAGGAGGAGGAGGAGCATGAAGGGTCTGCATGAAGAGCATCAGAAGGTAGAAACAGCTGCTGGACGAGGAGGCGCCACACTCAGGTTTACTGTCGGTTTTTCTATTGCAGCCTCGTCTGGCTTATTTCAGGATTGTGCTGATGTTTGATTGATCTTCTACGTTTTTAGCTCCTGCATGTCTGATGTTGAGTCACTTTGGTTTGCTGTTGTTGTTTACATCGGACATATTCTAATGAATTCTGGGAACTTTTTGGTTTCAGTCTGTGTGGAAGGAACCAGCAGTGAGTTTAAGTGTTTCGGATCACGTTTACAGAACATTAAAACTTCTCTTCATACCGGTTTTCTCTCTCTAAGTGTAAAAGAAACACAGTTTGCTTCCTAAAACCCGACAGCAGAAGATAAAACCATCTCCTGGAGCTCTTCAGCGCCGCTCGTTTCTCGCCGTCCTGCCCTGGACATCACGTCATTATGTCTGTACTTGTGGTCCTCTCCTAACACCTGCTCCACTGTGACGTCTGCAGATGAAGGAGAATGTTTCCTACCAACCTGCCTGTGAACAACAGACTGCAGACGCTCTCCTTCTAGTCTCACTGTTTTGGCAGAAGTCACATCTGACACATGAAACTGTGTATTTTAGCTGAATGTGACAAATCTGGTGTTAGGAGCTTCTCTCTCGTCTCTTCGTCCAACATCTGCATCCAGCTGCTGCACCACTCATCCTATAGATTAAAGTTTAAACTAGTGTGAAGCTGTGCACGAGGCCCACCTATGGACAGGGCGATCATGGGCTTGTCGGGGTTGGGGCTCAGCTTCATGCCGTCCACGATGGCCCTGATGGGGTTCAGCGTGTTGTTGGCCATCTCTGACGGCTTCACCTCCCACCGCAGCCGCCGGCTCTTGGCTTTGGCCGGATACAAGCTGCCGTTGACGCTGACGTGGTGGAAGTTCCCGTTGCCGAGCACCGCCTTCCCGTTGACGGCGCTCCCGTTCAGAGCCTTCCCGTTGACCGTGGCCTTGCCGAGGACCCCGGTGCCGCTCATCTGGACCAGGTAGGACTTGTTCTCCATCCTGGAGGAGGAGGAGAGGACGGACGGTAAACCTGATCCTTTACCTTCAGCAGCATTCAGAGGAAACAGCGACAGTTTCACAGAAACATTTAAGTTTCTACCAGCAACAACACATCCTGAAAGTACCGAAGGTGAAGCACCTGATGGCAGGATGCAGCTTTTCAGAATAAAACATAATAAAATACTCACAGTAACGGAGATTTAACTGCTTTATATCTGTACAGGTCCACTCAGGGATCAATAAAGTTACCTGATCATTTATTGATTGGTTTGTGTTTGTAGATCCAGTAACAACACTAACATGTACGTTGGACGGTTTAATAATGTGCATTAATCATAATGTTAGTAACATTACTATTATTTCACCGCATATACACGGACAACAGCAGAATGTACATTTATCTGTGTTACATTTTTTATTTTTATTCTGTTTTCATATTAATACTTTTTATTTTATTATATATCTTTACTTCTACGTCTTTAAGACTTTTGATTTAGAGCATCTCCAACTGAAAGCAGGGGATCAGTAAAGTATTTATGGTTCTGATTCTGAATCTATCAAAAAGTCCAATAACAGTCAGTGAAAACACATTCAACCTTTTTTTCCAGCAGCTCTGAAGGAAAACTAGAACAAAGAAGCAGCTTCGTGTGTAAAAGGAGAAACGTTTGATCAGCGGTTCAGCTGATGAAGGTGATGGAACTTCTTTATATCTGTGAAGCTTATCAAATGAATCTAGTCGAGCAAAAAAAGTGAAATATTTGCTGCTGAAGTAGCAGAAAATGGAAGAACTCGAGTAGAGAACAAATCCCTCAAAGTTACTGGAGTAAGTCAGTCATTACATCACATAGAAGATATTTATCATAAAGATCAGACTGAACGTTAGAAACACTTCACACTTTGACTGTTGAGTCTTTTACATGTTATTGTGACTTTTTGTTCTGAAGGAAAACTGCTGCAAAAAATACAATCAAATAGCATAAAAGCCACAGGACGCGGCTTCACGCGTAAAAGAAGAAAACTGACGACAGACTCTCGTCAGGTCTTCTCTTTAACATCTGCGGGATTTAACTGCATTAAAGTTTCCCTGAAGCGACACAGAGGAGAATCCTCCTCAGCTCCATCCTCTGCATGCATCAGTCACTCATTCATCTGGTGCAAAGTCAGAAACTTCAGCACACACAGATGAACGCATGAGCTCAGGTCCGCATCACGAGTCAGAGTTAAAACGCGTTCATCATCATGCAGCTCCAGCTTTAAAGTTTAAATTCATTAAAGCCTTAATTGGTATTAATTTGAACTTACCTTGTTAAATATTAAACACAGAGTCTCCAACAACCAAGAGGCAGCAGCAGCAGCAGCAGCAGCAGGTTTATAGTCTCTGATCAGAATTTGGCGTCAGGACGCATTAAAGTCGGTTTTATAGCGCGAGCGCCCAGAATGGGAGTCGAGCCCTGCCCTGGAGTCCATTGGTGGAGGCCGAGGGCTGTGCCACTACACCCCTCTTACATCACTAACCAGAACCATACCACCTTAAGCAGCGGGGGCGGAGGGGGCGCAGCGCACCTCCGTGCGTCATGCGTCAAAACAGAAAAGGCGCAAAGTGCGGATCAGAGAGCAGCAGCGGGAGGAAGCAGACAAACAGCAGCGAGCCTGTGCTCACCATGAAGCCCTGCTGGTCCTCTCTGATCCTCTCTGGAGACATGCTGATCATGACGGGACACATGCTGCCATGAATCAGAACCAATAACTGAACTATAACCAAACTGGACTGTTTTCATGTGTTCATCAGGTTCTTATGCAACACCCCCCCATCACACAAACTCACTACAGCTTCATGACTGAGGTTAAATCCGACCAGCACCAGGTTCTTTTCAGGCCATGAAATTTAAAAAGGGATTTTAATTTGATCAACTTTCAGCATCTTCATGAGCGCGAGGCCTGCGTCTGTCCTCCCAGCGTTTATGTAACACGTCTGGGCTCCGTTATCACAAACCAGCAGCGTTTTATCTGACCCGGCTTCGTGGTGCCGTGACCCGCGGACGTTGTGTAACGAGTGACGCAGCTCAGACAGTAAAGCCCGAGTCAGGACCAGACATGTGGCGGCAGGTAGAGCTCAGGTGTGACAGAAGCCTGGTGCTGCTGTTGTGTCAAACATCTGCTGGAGGTGAGAAGGCTCTGGTTGGAGCATTCTGGACTTCAGCCTCTGTGTTATTGTTTAATCTGCAGGATTCAGTCAGAACGTTCGAAGGCTGTAGCTCTTCCAGCAGAAACCTCGTCTGACTTCAGCATGTGGCCGTCCGTCTGAACACACAACCCAACATGAAGCTGAAGGTCCGTCCGTTCTGTCCGGGCCACGTTCTCTAGTTTGTTCTTTTAAAGATTCTGTTGAACCTCATTTCAAAAACAGTGCCTGGTTCTTATTGGTTGATTCTCAGTAAAGTTTTATTCATTTATATTTATCCAGTTATTTCAGGGACCGTCGTGGGTTTTTCTTTCTAAACAGAAGGAACCAACAGTGTGTCCATGTGTGTGTTCCTCATGCAGCTCCAGTCTGTGTCTATAAGGACTGCATTTATATTATATACATGAACTATACATTGAAGCCCAGAGGCACACGAGGGTTGTCTACGGTTTATATGACCTGCATTTAGTCTCCATCCCTGTGCGGGCGTCTGCACGGCGGCTACGCTGCACGGCTAACAGTGTTTATGCACAGAACATGTAGACGCTGCTCTACTGGATGGAACAAGTGGAGCAGGAGGTCATAATGCAGCAAATCAAGGCTGAAACAACGGTTCTAGTTGGGCTGCAGTAGGTTGTAGCTACAGCTGTGAACAGACGCTTACAGACACCTGTAAAGACATTTACATCGTAGCACTTTTAAAAATCAATCCTGCATTTTGGTTCTTTCATAAATCTATTAAAGGTCTTCTGGAAATATGACAGAATCTGTTGGGTCATTGTATTAATCAGATGGTCATAGTTTCCTCCTAACAGTTTAAACAGAACCATCTGATCCACTAAACAAACACCATGTGGCCCAATCAGAGCAGAAAACACACCTAGTGGAGGGTCTGCACCGAACCTGCCACCAAGCATGGAGGTGGCAGCATCATGCTCCTAACTGGAGCTTCACACAAAGTAGATGGACCAATGAAGAAGGAGGATCACCTCCACGTTGTTCAGCAGAACCTGAAACCATCAGCAGAAGGTTGATCTTGGACACAGTTGGATGTTCCAACCAGACAATGAGCCCAAACACACATCAAAGTGGTGAAGAAATGGTTCCATCAGGCTGGATGAAGGCGTACTCTGAAATGTGTCAGTGATGCAGGAGTTTTTAGAAGCCCAATAACCTCAAAGGGCTTTAACATGTTTCAGGAAGCGAGACCTTGTCCTGCATCATGGACGTGAAAATATGTGACGCAACAGTGTGAATGAGCTGCAACCTGAGCAGAAGCTGTAGAACCATCAAGCAGGAGTTCAGAAGAATCAACAAAGACTTTTAAAGCACATTTGAAGGTTTCGCTAATTTCCAGTAAATGTAACCAAATTGTTCAGCCTGAGCTCAACAAATGACTTTACAGCAGAACCCCTGGAGAGGGGCTGATGTCGTGAGTGCGTCGCCTCCCGATGCTCGCTGCCCAAACAAACAGTCGCTCATCCACACCGCCGCTGACTCGCTGCGCCGCGACCTGAGTCAACATGTTATGGCTTCCTGTGTGTGACACGGTGTTCAGTCAATACGTCGACGGACAAACAGCCGTTTAGACTAAACACACAAAACACGATGCTGAAAACATGAAGCCCATCTGGACCTTCGTCACATGTCCGGTTTGCAGCGAGCCGGTAAAAACACAAGAAGCCGGTCAGACTGGAGCGACACGTGTGGAAACCTTCCCTTTATGTAACGTACAGCCGGTGGAGCTCCTGAACGGAGGTTTCCTGCTCAGCTTCGGCTCATCTTACAGTCTAACAATGTGTGTGAGTTATGGGGGGAACACTGGGGCAGTAAAACCACCGAGGGGCCACACAGTTGGTGGATTTTTCCCTTAAAAAGAAAACTTGGGTCCAAAAAGTCCAAACGGCGACGTCGTCTGAAACCTTGTACAGAAGTCACAGCTCCATCGACGGCAGCTTTCTGCTGGTGGTTCTGTCTGTGGTCCATCTGAGCCGCTTGTTATTTGTTCCATGTAAGTTTAAAAAGCATTTTATCACCGTGTTAGCTGGAATACAGTCTGCATGACGGCATTTAACTGATATTCACTGAAATTCAAAGTGATCGGACTAAATCCTAAAGTAGAATTGCAGATATCTGCTCTGCTCCATCTGCTGAGCACAGGCTGGGCTCCTGTTTGCAGGTTCTGTGCACGCATTTAAAAAGTAGGACTAAAAGTAGAATGAATGAATGAATGAATGAATGAATGAATGAATGAATGAAGATGTTGGAGATGTTGGCCTGAATGCAGATCACAGCTCAGCTTCAGTCTTCTACCACATTTAAATTCTTTTTGCTTTTTGCTGTGACCCTTAAACTGTTTCTAGAAGCTTTCCATCAGTAACAGCGCCAGACGAGCCTGGCCTCTGTCACTGAGATCAGAGATCAGGACCAGGACTGGAGACGTGGCAGAAATCTGAAGGCCAACAAGGCGTCCACACACCAACTGACATGAAGATTAACGGTTGAACAGAACCCTGTGGACCGGTTCCTCTCAGAGATGGACAAAGTTCTGCTGGTTTCTTCTTCATCTTTGAGTGTTTTTAGCAGTTGGCCAACGACTGGGCCGCGTTCCAAACTCTGAGTCCACACTGCAGCTGACCTCAGAAAGTACAAACCATCTGGTGCAGCATGCATACAGTTTGCTGCATCACTCATGTTTCACAATAAACTTAGTCCATCGCAGTCTGTCGTGTGAAACGCTCTGCTGGCAGCTTCCTATGATAAAAACATACACCTGAGCTGTTTGGTCCCACTGAGCAGAACCATGTCTGGAGGAGAGAAGGTGAGACCTTTAACCCCAAGAACACCAGACCTTCCATCAAGCATGGAGGTGGCAGCATCATGCTCTGGTTCTGTTCTGCTGCCAGTGGACCTGGAGCTTTACACAAAGTAGATGGACCAATGAAGAAGGAGGATCACCTCCATGTTTTTCAGGAGAACCTGAAACCATCAGCAGAAGGTTGATCTTGGACACAGTTGGATGTTCCAACCAGACAATGAGCCCAAACATCCTAACAGAGCCCTTCGCTCTCAGACTGCAGGTCTACTGGTGGTTCCCAGAGTTTCTAGAAGCAGAATGGGAGGCAGAGCCTTCAG